ATCCTCTCTGGATACTGACAGAGAAGTCAATTAATAGAATCCTGTTGTTGGGATCCTTTGAAAAAAGACCAGATAATGTGGCCACCCAGTCTTGCACCTTGCCACCAGGGTCCCCATGGGGGTCCACTGGGGGCAGGCAGATCTTGGTTAGGCTGGTGAAGCCTGGGTAGCTTCTGGATGCAGCCTCCACTTCTGTCCACCTGGATGGTCTCCTCTTATCACTGGGGCCACCAACTCTTCTCCTCCTTCTTCCAATCTGGTTTCCCTCTTTCACTGGGAAGCAGGGTTGCTTTGCTTTTTGCTTGCTTCTCCTAGTCTATTGTTTAATGGCCTAAACTGCAAGGCCCATCGACGTGCTGGAGCTGCCTTATATTGGCTCTTGAGAGCCAAGGTTCAAATTCCAGGAATTTTTGCAAGCCGACTGTTAAACACAGCCAGCATTTAACAATTAAATTCTATAAGCTTAAGGTTAACTAAATTACACTGAGAACAAAGGTAATACATAAAGCCCATTACTTCCAGCTTATTTTACTACATTTACTACACCTGTGCTCTCCAGGTTACTTATAATTATTTTATTCCAGATGATGGATGTTCTATATACTGGTGTGCTACTGTACATCTCTCCCCAACTCTGTGTTAACTGACTTCCCCTCGATTGGTTGAAGTTGGCCATGGTGGGACTATTTACACCATGAAAACAATAAAAACTATTATCAGAGCTTGATTTATTGATTGTTTAGACTTAAGAACACGATAAAGTTGGCCACTAAGTGTCCAGAAGTGTTTGGAGCTTGGTGCCCGCAGAAGGCAAGCTCTGATGCTGCCAGGTTCAGGGTATTTGGATTTTTAGGGCTGCTTGGCACTTTTGGGACACTCACACTTTTAGCAGTGGCTGGAGGAGAATTCCAGGAGGCAGGAGCTGCAGGAGACACTGGCTCTTGGTGCCTGAGGCCCAGGGAGGCCTCCTCTTGAAGTCTGAAGATAGCCTTTCTCGCAGAAAGGTTGTTAGGATTCAACGAGATCCTGAGTTCCTGGCACAGCAGGAGCTCCGTATACTGAAGCCTCTCCGTCTCTTCTGATTCTATGAAGACCGTCTTCTGAGACCTTAGGAGATGCTTGTGTCTGTCCTGACTGTCAGATGTGCCTCCAGTTAGTGAGAGTTTTATATTCCATGTTTCCCTTTTATCTTGGCTGCTAGGAAGCCCAGAGCTGAGTGTCAGGTATAGTTAGCCTTCTTCTTCCCTGTAACTATATCCCCATCCCACAACTTGGGATGACTGCTTGGATCATAAGAGTTGGGCCAGTTCTGTGCCCCCTTCTTTTGATACCAGACACTTCTTGGTCATGGGTCAGGGGGGACATGTATACTTGCTGGGTTAGTCATAGGAATCCAGCCACTGACC